TGAAGCTTTACAAGAGGACTTTTAGTGTGTTTTACCACTAAGAATGATTGTACAGACAACCTAGCAAACAGCTTACATAAAACCATTTTAATATGACAGCTGACAATGGTTTCCAAACTAAATGACCAACTCTACAACTGCAGATGTTTATTTATTTTCAGAGAAGGCTACATATTCAGCTTATACAGCACGGAGCCAAAAAAAAAACCCCACCATAGCAACCTCTTGCTATTGTTTCTGTTGCACAAACCTTCCTGAACCTCCCAATAGCTCTTCTGCCTGGGAGAAATGTTTTAATATTGCCCAAGTTATATATCAACAAGACCCATTTGTATTTAATTCACTAAGGAAGCCAGACAATCTCTCTGAATCTATACACACTGTAGATTCACCCAAAAAACAAGTTGCCTTTTGGGTTTACCATGTGGCATACATGGATATTCTCCCAAATTAGATTCACTCCTATGATATTTAGTCTCTGTAGCTAGCATGAAGCTGGCTTCAGTTTTGTCATTTTCATATCTGTGTATATCATAGTGTTTGATATAAATATACATTTATAATGTCATGATGCAACTGGAAGATAATCAAGTGATGCATTCAGCACATAAGGCATTGTCTGCATGTAATGGGGAAAGTCAATTCCCAACAGAGGCAACTGAGATGACCCTCCAGACAGAGGAGCTCCAGGTATCAGAAAAACAAGAACTTTCTGGAGAACCTGACACATCAGCGATGACATTCAACAAAACTACAAAAAAATAAATAAATAAATAAATAAATAAATCAAGAAACACTGAACGAATATCAACAGTTAAGATTAGCTGAGTAGAGGTTACAGGAGCACAACATAAAAATTATCCATAAAATGTTCTTCTGATGAAGTGTAAATTCCTGCAGAAAACTGAAATGCAGTACACAACCATACATTAAAATAAAGCCAACCAACAGGTCTGATCCCACCACCTCTAATCAAGAAAGACTCCCACTCAAATCAGTGGCACCCATTTGAATAAATTTTGAAGGATCTGATCCTGAAAAATAAAGAAAAATTGTAGCAACTTGTAAATATACCACTTCATTTGTTCTTTTGTCTTCTAGAACATAAATGTGTTAGTTTTACATTACACATCTTTACATCAAACTTTACAACCTGAGAATTTTTTTTTCAAAGAAGTGCCAACCTGCTATTTCGTCTAGTGTGTTTGCCCTCATGTCCAACATAACCGTCCCATTTAGAATACAGCTTCTCAGTTCAAAGAGACTGTGCAGAGACAGAGTTGCCACGTACGGTTTGCTCCATCGATCACCACCATCTTCAACATCCTCTTCAAATTTTAGCCACCTAAAATGGAAATAGCTATGTACTTATGTTTCTGCTGGGAGGACTACCTAATGAGCCCCTCTATCCATGTACCACAGAACAAACACACACCCACTTACATATATCCTCCTTCATTCTGTCCTATGCTCCCTTTACATCCCTATGCTCTGAGCTCATTTTTCCCTATCATCTTTTCCCACACTGAACTACCTTTTTCATGCTGTTCCTTATACATGAGACAATGTGCCTGTATCCAGGCACCAAGCATGATTAACCAGACAGCCTTCAACAAACTACTGGATTTATATTCATCAAAATGTAGGCTGCAGATTTGAGTCCAAATCTAAACTAAAATGCATTTTAAAAAGCAGCATGCCTATCTACAATGCTTTATATTTAAGTGTTTTTAGGTAGCATTTATTAAAATTATGACAGCTACAGAGTTAAGCATTCAGGCCGGAAAAATGCCAGATTCAGAGGTCCACATAAACAAACAGACACTACGCAATCTTGGTAGTGTTGGAGTGTTGCTGTAGCTGTGATGATCCAGGAATGGTACAAGGGAAAAGGATATTTGTGGGTGGTATCTTTTATTGGACGAACTGTATGGTTGGAACAGACTTAGACCAGGTTTCAAATGCAAGATATTCTTCATCATTACGAAGAATGCATTCAAAAGCCGGTCTAACTCTATCCCAAGCATGCAGCTGAATTGGCCCACTAAAAAGATTTTACCCACAAATATCCTTGCTGCTCATGCTATGCAATTTTGTAATTAAACACTATACTACATATTCACAAGGAAGCCATTAAACTCTACTCTGGCACTGATTTCCCAGGATACTGCAAAACATAACATAGTTGTGGGGTAGAATATCCATGTTTTGGGATTACCTGGCTGTTTCTTTCCATTCACATTCTCCCCCATCTCTGAAGCAAAGTTCATCCATTTCAGTGAAGAGATCATGAGGAATGTGTTCTTCATCATCATCCTCAGTACCCAGAATAAACTGCACTCGTTGGGATGGGGTATCTTTATGGAAATAAAACAACAGTTCAATAAACAGTACAAGGTATTAACTGCTTAACCTTCTTCATGCTTCTCATAAAATCAAGTTCATACTCAAAAAAGAGAAGCGGTCTTAGTATCGCATTTACAAGTGAAATAGGTATATTATATACTTTTTTCTCTTCAAAGAAAAACATTGTTAGACAGCTGGGACAGAGAAAAATAGGCCCCAGGAGATAAATAGTGCAACTTTTAAAATAGTTACCCTTAGAAACACAGATGGTTAAGGTTGGAAAAACATTTTTGTGCATGTTTGTTTCTATAATGTGCTCCCAGAGATTAACAAAGCCAAGATGCTACTATTTTTTTCCCCCAAGTTGCTGCTCTGGGCATGCACAAGAGGAATCGCAGGAATTAATACATCTGTCTTATTGTACTGTTGGAGGATTCTAACGTAAGCTAATAAAACTACTGATATCCTGTAACAGCTAAAAGGTTAAAAGAAATATGGTATCAGAGGAAGCATTATATTTTTCATGTATATATTAGATTTTCTACGGTTTATAGTACAATGGTCCCCTGACTTTGATTGGAACAAAAATAATATGTGCTACATTAAATAACAGGCATCAATCAGAATAGTCTGTTTTAAGCACTTTTATTGGTTGTAGTTACCTACATTGCCACACAAACACCCGATCTGTTTCTCGTGAAGACTTGCCCTATAACTACTAATCTGCAAGAAATCCATAAGTTAAGTTGCACTGAAGACTAAAAATGAATTTGTGTATTCTACATAGTCTCCTGATCATTCATAAATACAGCACAAGTGATCAGGAGACTATCTAGAATACACAAATTCATTTTTTTACTCTTTGAGAATCCTCAAAGACAATTCTTGAAAAAAAGTTCTCCAAATTAAAAGTTCCTATTGATAGTCTTTTTAAAAAAGATGATGTTTTTCTTACAATAACGAGCATTAATTTTCATTTAAAATACAAAGTTTAGATAGTTCAATACAAAAACCTATATACAAAAATATTAAGGCTGAAACCTACATAAGAAAGTCTGTCTGCACAACCTTAATGCAATTCCACTGAGTACATGTATTATGCTACAGCCTTTAATTGCATCAGTCTAATTTACTGAACCCTGTTCAAGCCCCACACTTAATTTTCTCATGGGTTTTTCTAGTGGCTCACCACTACTAAACGACTGTTTCACAAACTTCATGATGGTTCTGGTGTCAATGGATGATTAAATCGAGGCACAGACCAGTGTTAAACAAATTAATTCTAGCATCCAACTGGGAACTGACTGATCATTTAGAATTCATCAAGTGTAACCCTTCATATGTTTAAAATACAATTCCCAGTGACCTCAGTTACAGCCAGGTGTGCTCAGCATGGCTGCAAATCCAGTCCAAGAATCATAAGCTGGGTGTCTACAACTTAAAAGTTTGGTTTAAGTAATTTAATTAACAATACTTAGGAGCTCTGGATCTGGCAAGGGTAGTGTACAGACATCTAGAGAGCATTCAGCTTTCCTAAACCATGAGACAGTGAGGAAAAGATTGTATGACCACTCAATCAAAGATTATCATATGCACAAGAGAGAGGAATTAAATGTTGCATTTTTGGGTAGTGTACAGACATCTAGAGAGCATTCAGCTTTCCTAAACCATGAGACAGTGAGGAAAAGATTGTATGACCACTCAATCAAAGATTATCATATGCACAAGAGAGAGGAATTAAATGTTGCATTTTTGGGTAGTGTACAGACATCTAGAGAGCATTCAGCTTTCCTAAACCATGAGACAGTGAGGAAAAGATTGTATGACCACTCAATCAAAGATTATCATATGCACAAGAGAGAGGAATTAAATGTTGCATTTTTGGGTGTTTAATTTTGGAAGGAAGCAAATTTCATCATACAACTGTACCAAAATCCCCAGTTTTGGGGGGGGGGGTG